AGCTGAATTGCTCCAGTTCAGCTTGTTGCAGCCTTGGTCATCTAGCTGCAGAATAATATTGGGGCTCTTGTTTTTTGTAGGGGTTAAATGAAGTTCAGGTGGTATCTCTTTTCTCTGTCAGATTTTCTTTTAAAGAGTCCCCTTCAGATGATATGGGAGCTCTTGCTGTTTCTGATGGGCTATTTACCTCATCTTTGCCTCTCCAGAAGGAATGGACACTGGCCCTGGCAGCAGAGCCGGCAGAAGATGCAGGCAGGAAAAAGGAGCAACCTGGGTGGGATCAGAGACCAAGAACACCTGGAGAATGGAGAGCACACAGGTGGCATGGGAGGAATGGAGTTGGGAATAAGAGCGGAGGACAAGGAGAGTGAGAAGCAGTTGTGGACAGAAGGGTGGGAAGACCTGCTGCTGGTTTTCTGCACCTTTAACAGAAGCATGCCAGAATGTCCTGAGGGACTCTGAGACTTGCAAGTTAGTCAACCTGTCCCAAGGATGAGAACACAGTGGGTGGTGTACCCATCTTCATCTTGCTGGAACTGTTGGACCACTGACTGTGACAAATGAGAGGACTCATTCTTCTAAACTTACCCCCATCCGGTGAAGACGCTGGCACTACTGTTGCCAGTGATTGCACCTCTCACAGCTCACTTAGGTACTGGCAGATGTGTTCATCTGTGGAAATAGTCTTCTGTCAGGGACTACTGGCTCTCCCTGAAGGGTCCAGTGCAAATTTGGGTTTCTGTGTGGGATTATATCAGATTTGACTTTTCATCTCTGTTTTTTTGTGTTGTTCCAATGCAAACCAAAGAAATGAACGTGTGAGTAACAAAACATTTGCCACTGCAACAATTTTCTGAGAGAAGGGTTGCATTTTCTGACAGAATTGCAAGGGTGCCAGTATTTTTGGCCATGACTGTCGCCATTAATTACATGCACACAATATACAGGGTTCTAGAGCCAATATTTTTGGCCATGACTGTAGCCATTGATTACATGCACACAGTATACGGGGTTCTAGGGTGAAGAAGAAAATAGATGAAGATAATGAATTTTAAAAGTTTCAAATACATCATCAGCATGTAGAATGAACGATCAAAGAATCAGTTACATAAAATCTTGATCGCAGGTAGTGTGATGAACTGTCTACCAAATATATGTATGGCTTTCTTCAGAGATTTTTGTTCTAGGATGTTGCTTGTTTGTTTGTTAAATCAACTTTTGATTCTGAGGACCTAGAGATTTGCCAAATGTCTGCGTACTTTTGTCTGTACACAATATAATAAAGACATGCATGCTGGAATGTATAGGTGGAAGGAGGCAGTTGTACGACCTCTGCTTTAAAAGGTCTCTTTGGACCTAAAGATTGTAACAATTATTGCCTAATCATAAATATTCTTTTGGGTAGGAGCAAGGTGTTACAGCAGATGGGAGCAATTCAACTCCAGATGCACTAGGATGAAAGAAATAGTCTAGACCAGCTATTCTCAGCCTTTTTTCGGGTCACAACCATAAACAAATATGAAAAAATATAGGGCAAATCAGGATTGTATAAGTCACATAACCAACTAGATAAGGTGGTAGGTGAAGAATTGTTTCCAATCTGTGGCTCCCTTCAAAAATGCCAGGGTCCCCCCAGGTGGCCAATATGACTCCCATTGAAAATGGCTGGCCAGGAAACTTCTTTCCTGATCAACGTGTGCATTCCATTGTGTGGCTGACATTCTAGGAGCCACTTGCCATTGGTGAATAAAGCCAAAGCAAAGAACCAGGTGGAGAGAAGAATGGACCGAGGCTACCCGCTTTGTCTTTTTGTCCAGTAAGCCGACATAGGTTCATATATACACATAACAAACACAGTCAGTTCTCACGGATACTCATTCTCACTCTCACTCTTCTCTCTCAGATGCACATATGCCCTTCAGATTCATTAGCCTTGAAAAAAGCATTCCACTTGATGCTTAAGAGCCCTCCTCTTCTTGTCTAATTGGTAGGAAGAAGGACATTCTGTGGAGAACAGAGAATGAGTATGTAGTGAATATCTTCTCCAGTTACAGTCTTCATGAAGATCTGACTGCTGGTGCAACAGTTTAGCTTTGGGGAAGGGAGGAAACGCCTCCCACTAGAGCAAGAAGAAGATTCTTTTTAAGGCCTGTAGGATAGGGCTGAGGACTGAACTTGTGGCAGATGAGAGGATGGACCTGATCAACAGTCCACTAAATCCCTCAAAATGATGTACGTCGGAGGTGGGCAAGGCACAGCTCACGGGCTGCGTATCCCTTTTCTGCGCTGTCCTCTGAAGATGCTGGCCACAGAGACTGGCGAAACGTTAGGAAGAACAACCTTCAGAACACGGCCAAAGAGCCCGAAAAACCCACAACAATCATTATTCCTTTTCTGTTTTTCCAGCCTTTAATATGGCAGACTTGTCAACATTCAGATGGGCTGTACCTTATAACCGCCATGCAGGAGAGATTATAGGAAACTTTCAGTAATGTTTCCCAAAAAAGTCCAGGTTTTGAGGGGAATGGGGCCAGTGATTAATGTCTCAGAACTCTGGCCCCAACGTTGCACTTTTTATATCCCTGCATGGACACCACTGCTTTCCCTGCAGCTCCCAACATCTGAATCTGTCACCCACATGTTGCTTGCTCTCCAAAATCTTCTCTCATGCTGAAACACCTTTCTCCCTTAATCTAAGCCTGGACAATCCTTTCATACGTTATCTCTCTTCATTAGCCTACAACTCCCATTTTATAGTCATCTTTGTGATTGCCAATCCCAAATTGCTTGTCTTCTGTCATATGAGCCTGGTCAAATTTTAAGGTGTTCTAGGCAGGTTCTTCTCTGAAATCCAAGGTGAAGGAATGCTTTTTAGATGGCTGCCTACAGACTCTCGAACTCCGATCCAAGGGAAGCTTGATTTGCTCCTTCTTTGCTGTCCTTTCACTAGTAAGCAAAGAGGCAGTTAAATGAGGCAGTTCTTTGGTATATGTACAATTTGTTCTGCTGGTTAAATATTTGATGCTGACTGTGCTTTTATTTAATTTCATTTTTTAATGTTAGTATACATGATATTGTTTTTAATCTGTATTTTATTATTGTCGGCCAATGTGAGCCCTTTTTGGGCAGGAAAAAAGGACTGGTTCAAGGTTGGCAACACTCTCAGGAGATGCTCTGATCCTTAACCTTACATTATAGAGGGGCAAATTATTGGGGGTGGGGGAACTATAGAAGATATCTCACTACTGAAATTTCTAATTGCTTGTCAGAAATGACCAAAAGAAAAAGGTGTGGGTTTGGATTTCAAGATACTTAAACTGCACATACGTCTGATGTCAAATAATTATCAGTAAAGTACCAGCATAAACAAAGCAAAAACAAAGTAGTGACACCATTAAGACTAAAAGATTTATTTTAGTGTGAGCCGAGGAAGTGAATTGGTGGTCCATAAAAGCCGACACAGCAATAAATCTGTCGGTCTTGGAGGATTTATGATATTTCTGTGTTTGTTTTGCTGTTTACTTTGTGATACATCTTTCCAAATACTGTAATCATACAAGAATTTGTGCTAACCTGCCATTCAGTATCAATATACTGTACTGTATTACTAAAGAAACAGTCTTCAAAGCTGTATGGAGAGTGTGTGAAGAAAGTCTCAGCAGAGTATGAATATTTGTCTAAAAACCTCTGGCTGCACAGCAGATGGTCCAGGGATTTACCAAGCAGAATTAGTTTCTAGTCTCCCCACAGTAGACCACCCCTTTTGATTCTCATCAACTGTCACTTAGAGTCTCAACAACTCACTTTGAGACATCAATAAGAGAATAATAAAAGGTTTGATTTAATTACAGTTCTGAACATATCAAAAACAGTATACTGTATAAAAATGATTGGTTACAGGAACAGACCTTAACTGGCTATATGACTGTATACTAACTGTACACCAACTACTGCACAACTAACTGTAAACTAAGGGACAGCAGATGTAACAAGGAGTGAAAAATATTCATAGCCAGAGAGGTGTGTCTCTCTTCAAAATCAGAGGCAGGGAAGAAACAATTGGCCACTGCCTGATTGATTGAGTCAACCCAGCTCAGAAAGCTCCTTCCCAACTAAACCTCTTAAAGGCAGCAACAAAGGCTGCTAAAACTCCAGCAGAAAGTTCATTATCAAATAGCATGACTGATATTTTATAATTTTAAGTACTGTTGGGTATTTGCTGTGACTATCAGACGAGGTTAAAGAATTCCCTGGGAAGGATTAGGAGGAAGAGGAAAAGCAGCAGCATCAACAGCAAATTGTTAAACGGCTGTTTTATCATAGATTATATTTTGATGGGTAATACATTCTTAATGACAATTTAATAAAGCTTAACATGTCATTGCCTTGCAGATACTGTCCGTGTTTAGTAACATTTTATGATCTACCATACAGTACGTTTTAATAATTTTTAGTCTTATAGACCTGGAGATTTAAATTGTTCCTTCATTTTATCATTTTCTGTCCTAATATAGGATTATCTTCATCTTAAATAACAGAATTGTCTTGAATTTTAGCAGCAATTGCTCAAGGAAAATTATATGCTGTGTGGTATAATATTGCCATCTGGTGGTAGAGAGCACTTGTGTATGAATTCTGTGTATTATGACAATGAAAAAATGTAGAGAGAAGAAATAATATGGTTGAAATCCTGTTGCATAAATTATGCTGTATAAGGTTGATGACATCAGCATTACTGGCAATTTTTTCAGAAATTAATGTCATATTGACAACAGCAATTTTCAGTAATTAAAGACTTCTCTGTTCCATGGCCCAAAAGGCTTCCCAATAATGAAAGTGATTATGCCTTGGGACTTTCTGGGAAGAAATCAGAGATATACTGTATAATTTCTGAAAAATCAATGCCAAGGATGACATAATCAGCCATATATGAAGCAACTTACAGCAACATAATTTTAGTCTGTATTTGTTAAACACAACAAAAATGCTTTCTGTTTACTTGGGAACAGGAAAATTGGAATCCCAGTATTGCCTTTGTTGTTGGGAGCCAACCTGAAGATGAACTTCATATAAAGGCTCTATCGCTTGCTGTGCAGGTGCCACAGAGAAGGCTCTTTGGTGTTGTGTCCTGGGAAGAAATCTTGGCACAGGTATTTTGCATTTATAAGTGTGGAGTTGTGGGGTTGGGGTTCCAATTGCAGCTCTGTCTATCGCTGAGAGTGATACTGGAGAAACATTGGCTCTGTGGCCTTGTATCGCTTGGTCTTCTTGGATATGGCGGTCATCAGTGAGCTAGGAAGGAAGCAGAACATGAATTTTGTCTGGAAAGCTGAATTTAAAGCGCTGTACTGGGGTGCTTTTCTGTGCGCTGAATCTGGCAGGAGAAGGTCTGGTAGAGTTTAAATAAAAATTCTACCGGATCACCTTGCTATTAAAAACCTGACTGGAAACAGCAGGGCACAAGTTCCCTTCCGCTAAGGAACCATCTTTTCAATCCAGTCCTAGGGGAAAAGATCCCAAAACAAAAACAGCAACTAGCAATTGTTTAATGATAAATAATGTTTTAAAATATTGGCTAGAATCCTGTTGGCACAACTACATTCACATAAGGCTGATGACATCATCATAAGCTACGGACATTTATCTTTAATTAAATGCTTCCTATTCCCTTGTCCCTTTCAGGTTCTGAGGCTTCCTAGGGATCCCCTTCAACCTTCAGGTCTTTGAAGGCTATTAAAATACAATTAAAATACAATTAAAAAGGCCTAGGGACCCTGGGGAGACTTTATAATGTCTTAAAATTGCTATTGCCTGGCCCAGTTGTATTTGTGGGACCTATATCATCAATGCAGAGGCTTTTGATATGGGCAGTTGTTTCCTGTAAGATGTTCCTCTTTTAGGTGCTTCCTGTATGCCTCTGCCAAGATGACTATCTAGTCTCCCACCACTATCAATATTGGCATAATTTAATAAATAAAGATACACATTTATTAAACCCTTGGGAGTTGATGATCATGGGCTGTGCAGGTTTTAGTGCTACAGTTTTAGTGTTTTTAATGTTGTATTTGATTTGTTTTAATTTTGTATTTGATTTGAAATTATTTTAAATATCTTATGTTTTAGAATTATTTTATATGGTTTTGTAACCCTGAGATACTATGATATAGGGTGGGCTATAAATGTTTAAATAAATAAGTAAATAAAATAAATAATGTTGCTATATGGGTGAGACTAGGTCCTATGTTTGGTCTAGAATTCTATTCAGAGCTTGGAAATTCGTTGCTTCTTTCTCCAGCAACATCAGTCTGTCTAGAACTGGTTACCCTACTCTGCTAGTGATAAATAAACCATTAGAGGGCAATAGTATGTCAACCAAATATGACCCATTGTTATTCAGTGTCATTTCTGTAGCATCTTTTAAAAATACAACAATTAATTTAATGGATTAAGACCAAGCTCCTCCCTACTAACATTAGAGCAATAAAATAAATGTTTTTGAGTAAACTAATCATAATAAATTAATATTTTTCTAACTCTGGCCCTACCTGTACTTTTGCAATACTGTATTCCTTCTCTGAGTGGTCACCTGTCCATTTGCACAACCTGCCTTCCTTCTCTGCAGCTACTCTCATCATGAGATTTTCCTGCTTGGTATTTGCCATCACAGTGTTAGTTCAAAACTGAGTGGGACAAATGGAGGCCACATACTTTGCCTACAGGTGGGACTGCCTACCAATTTTTTTTCTCCTCCAGAATGTTTAGACTTTTTGTGCAGGCGTAGAACTCCATTGCATGACTCCACACATTATAGCGTGTCTGGTAATAGGTACATACTCTTGCCTTACTCAGCAGTAACCTATCTATGCTCCCTACATGTACTTGGTACACTACTTATGATTTACAGAGGAGTTTCAAAATCAGTGTGTAATATGCCACATTGAGAGTCAGTGGAGGCAATATTAAAAATACCTTAGGAATCAACATCCCTCTTACAGTGGGCCCTCGACTTACAGATGGCTCGTCCTCCCCTCCAGAATGTTTAGACTTTTTGTGCAGGCGTAGAACTCCATTGCATGACTCCACACATTATAGCGTGTCTGGTAATAGGTACATACTCTTGCCTTACTCAGCAGTAACCTATCTATGCTCCCTACATGTACTTGGTACACTACTTATGATTTACAGAGGAGTTTCAAAATCAGTGTGTAATATGCCACACTGAAAGTCAGTGGAGGCAGTATTAAACATACTTTAGGAATCAACGTACCTATTAAAAGATCAGTTTTCAATGCATTGTAGGTCAATGGAGACTCGACCTACAGCCTTTTCGACCTGCAGCCACCTTTCCAATACGGATTAATTCCTTAAGTAGAGGGTCCACTGTATAAAGTATCTGGCTATTAAAAACACAGGTGAGCACAGTGTGTCCTGAAGATGATTTTTTTTACTTGTAAACAGTATACACATAGATATGTGTACATTATACATAGACACAGATGCACACAGAGACACACACACACATTTTTCTTCTTTATTAGTATATTGACACCCATATAGGCCTCCCCTTTTTTGCCTCCACAAATTTGTATTTTGTATCTGTCTAATCCCTCCTAGTCTTCTTTACTTTTTAATATCATCTGTCTATCTAGTTTGTGGTCTTCTTCTACTCTTTCTTCTAATCAGTAGTTGCCTTTTTAATATCATCTGTCTATCTAGTTTGTAGTCTTCTTCTACTCTTTCTTCTAATCAGTGGTTGCCGTTGAAGTATTTCATTGCCAGTCGGCCTACTTCAGGGTGTACCCCCTGCAAACGTTATGCAAGGCACCACTGTATTTCATTGCCAGTTGGCCTAGCTCAGGGTGTACCCCCTTTCATTTAAATGATGCTATTTGTTCTTTTATGTCTATCATTTTTGTTTTCATTCAAATATCCTGGTTGCTTACCTTATATCTTAGACTAATATTTAGCATTTATCTTTCCATTGCTCTTGAGTTTTTGTGAACTTTTCTGTTGTAGATTTTGTTAGAGTCCAGAGTGCAGTATAGGTCAGAGCAGGCAACATGCATTGATTATAAACTGATGTTCTTAATTTTACATTTCTTCTTGTTGTTGTTATTTTTAAGGATTTTATTCTCTTTACCGAAAGCTGACCATGCAAGACTCTTACTTATCTCTCCTCTTCTGCTTCTGATTAGATTTCTCACACTGTATTACCTGCCCAGGATAAATATATTCCTGTACATATTCTATACAGTATGATGGCCATCGATATTTTATACTTCTATATACATATATGTATCATTTGTTATAGATCATGGAAGCTGGAGATGTAAAAGCAAAGAAGGTCAAAGAAAAAGAAACACCGCTTTATTACGAGGTGAGTACAAGTCTTTTGCAGTACCAATGTCTTGATTATTTTTTCCCCTTTCTTTCTCCAGAATGAGATTTTTTATTTGAGAAACCAGAAGTATTGTAGCATTTTTAAGGCTAACTAGTGGTTTTTTTTTCTGCATAAGTTTTCATGTGTCCAAACATGCTGTTTCAAGGGAGGACGATAAGTGAGTTTCTTGGTCCTTGGTGAAGATCTTTAGCAAGCAATAAATGCTGATTAGTAGGACAAGGATTTCTATGACATGACATTTTTCTGCACCCTTTATTTGAATTTACAAGCAAGTTAAAACATGTTTTTGAGTAATCTGGTGAGAATTACATGGTTTTCATTTTGCCGGGAAAGTCATATTTTCATCTTTTTAAAATGTTATGTCACATTTCTGTTTAATTTTGTAATAAATGTTATAATTCAATCATATTTTGGTTGTTGACAACCCTCCTGACAATTTCAGCATGCCCAAAATGGGATGTTTGGTGAGTGCAACATTACAGCGCTTTGTTCAAGTGTTTGGGAGCAGATTTTCAGTGGTGATGGTGATATTTTGTTTTGCAAATTGTTTGAAGTTAAGCTGTCAGCCCAAAAGTGTTTTATATTCAGCATCATTGTGATACCATGAAACGTAAGAGTTGTTTAGCAAGATTTATATTTGCTGAGAACATGCAACATTTCCTTTTCGAGAGAGCTTCTTCAACTGAAAGTTCATAGTTTACCAGTTTTGTAAGGAACTCTGTACAATTATGGTTACTTCAAACATTCTCTCAAATAAATTAGGTAGTGGTAGTCTCAGACTACATTCTTGGAAAGTACACCAGTCAGCAGATTCCAGATGAATTAGCTCTAAGGAAAAAGTACATATCTGTGTGCAATGAAACTGTGTTAGGAAAAATAAGATCTGCTGTTGACAATAATAAGATTGGGTTTCAATAGATGAAACAAGGGTTGTAAATAGGTTATATGTATCTAATGTTATTATTGGCACACTGAAATATTACAAGCCTGGTGAAGGATTTCTTCTAACACATGAAACGCTACAAAAAATAAACACTTCCACTATTACTATGCTCTTTGACGATTCTATTAAACTACTCTGGTTGGCTGGTGTAAAACAGGGAAATATCATCCTTTTTGTAATAGACACCGCTGCATAGGCAGCCAAGGAACGGAAACCTCTTTATCCAAAATATGATAAATATAGATATATATGTTCCATATTACGTTTACAGTGGTGCCTCACTTAACGATTTTAATTGGTTCAAAAAAATTCATCGCTAAGTGAAAACATCGCTAAGAGAAACGCGTTTTCCCATTGAAATGCATTGAAAACCGGATAATCCGTTCCAATAGGAACGAATTGCCGTCCTTAAGCGAAAATCGCCATAGGAAACATCGCTAAGCGAAATGCAGTTCCCCAATTGAAATGCATTGAAACCTATTCAA